CAGGCAGCCCCAAGTACTCCAGCGAAGCCCTGAGCTCCCCCCAGGCGGATGACGGCTTTGAGACCGACTCTGACCCCTTTCTCCTCGATGAACCTGCTCCGCGCAAGAGAAAGGTACTGCTGCCGTGGGGGGTCCCAGCATTGGTGGGGTGGCTCGAGCTGAGCCAGCATCCCATGGGGGGGACGCTGCCACCACTCAGGAGGTGGCAAGGGCTGTTTTCTCCACCAGAACTCGGTGAAGGTGATGTACAAGTGCCTGTGGCCGAGCTGCGGCAAGGTCCTGCGCTCCATCGTCGGCATCAAGCGGCACGTCAAGACCCAGCACCTCGGGTAAGGCGAAGATTTCACCTCCTCAATCCCTGCCCGACCTTGCTGCTGCGTAATTCGTAATTCCTGCAGCAAATATCCCCAGTATTCGAGATCCTGAGCTTGGCGGTTCTCAGCCAAGCAGTCCATGTCACCGAAGCCACTGTTGGATGTGTCCCCACCTCCAGGGAGCCCAGGGCTGTCTGGGAGGCATGGGAGCGCCATTTAGGCTTTAGGACTGCACAGTTCTGCCCAGTTCGGGTGTGCATTTATACTGGGGGGAGTTCAGGTTACACATGAGCCCTGGGCTCCTGGGCAGACCCAGAAAAGCACCAGCCCAGCTGGGTTTTGCGAAGGCGGGCAGCCTGAAAGCTGTGCCTGCAGTGGCAGTGGATGGCTCCGGCTCAGCCATCAGGGCTGGCACGGGCACCCACCAGTTTCCTCCTGCTTTTCTCCACGTTTTCCAGTATGTATCTTTCTTCTCCTCCCTTGCAAACGTGAATGCTCCAGGAAAGGTGAGGATGAAGAGCCACAATGCAGTGGGCAGCGCTGGACTGCCATCCAGTGCCAGATAAATGAACTGGGAAAATAACAAAGAAGACTGTTTCCTGCTGGGTGAACCGCAGGGCTTCGTTCACAGCTGTGCTAAATGAACTCGATTAGAAATAAGCAGGGGGGTCTCAGGGGTACCAGGTCAGTGTGCCAGCGATTTGTAAAGGCGCTGGAAGAGGTGATGATCTTCCTTGGAAGCACAGAGTGCTGATGCAGAGGCAGTGGCTGGGGTGGGTGGTGGCAGCGGGA